TTTGTTACAAATACTGAAAGAATGGACAAAAAGATTTTGGGAATGTTAAAAAATGCTATAAAACCTCCTATTAAGGATTATAATATTACTTGGACTGACCACATCATTGAAGATTCTTTACCAATAGAAACTAATACATCCAATAAACCAATTATTAGTTTCTTTAGTGATAATACTACACCTCCACCGGCTACTCAAAACATCTTTACAGACATAAAAATTCAACAAGCTCCATTTTTAATTCCACCAATTTATCCTGGTGCTCGATTCATAGTTTATTGCTTTTTAGAAAAAGGTGTTGAAGTTTGTAAAGAAATTATATTAAATGCAAGTTCTCATGATGGCCCTATGAGGCTTTCCATTCCATTAGATCCTGTGGTTTTACAAGGATCAAAAATACATACGCTTGCTGCCAGAAAAGTTATTCAAGATCTTGAAGATGGAACTTCATTTATCCATAAGCATTCAAAAAATGCGGGAAAAAGTATACCAAACTCATTTATTCGTGAACAAATTGTAAAATTGGGTGTAATGTATAATTTGGCTTCTAAATATACAAGGTAGTTTTTTATAAAATTTTCTTACCCAATTATTTTTTAAACATGAATATTAATCGTTTTTTTTTTAATATAATTAGTTTTCTTGCAATTGATGAAAGAGATAATAAGTTAGTTACTGAAGCTAAAAGTTTACCAGCCCAAATAATAGTCCCAGTTATTGCTTCTCCTGCTTGTCACCTTATTTCTTCAAAATTTAGTCATTCAGCTTCTACTTCAGTTGCTCATTTGTCAACTCCTACTCAAGCTGTTCGAGCTGCTCAAAAGGTTTATTATAGGCCTATGAAAAAACGTAAGTAATATACTATCTTCATCTGATTATATAATCCAAAAGTAATTCATTGTAATGTATATTTCGTCAACGCAACTAGGTGCTCGTGCTGCATTTTCTGAAGAGTCATTTACTACTCATTCTTACAATAATCAGGATGCTAATTCAAGTTTAATTGCTTCTGCCGCAAATCCGTTATATTTAATGAATTCATCTATTTCTTACAGCAATTGCGATTCTAGTAATTCTTTTGCTTCATCTATTCCTCACAACAATTACGATTCTAGTAATTCTTTTGCTTCATCTATTACTTACAGCAATTGCGATTCTAGTAATTCTTTTGCTTCATCTATTCCTCACAACAATTACGATTCTAGTAATTCTTTTGCTTCATCTATTACTTACAACAATTACGATTCTAGTAATTCTTTTGCTTCATCTATTACTTACAGCAATTACGATTCTAGTGATTCTTTTGCACCAGTTTTACCAATTACTGTAAAACCAAAAACTCCAAAGATTGAAACTCTTTATAATTTTCTCGATTTCCAATCTTTTAATGGATCATTTTTACCATCCACTGATTTTTATTCTTGGTTTGGTAAAAATGGTTTTAAAGATTTTGAAGTTATTGGAATTGAAAATGAGAATGTATTATGTTTGGCATTAGGAATGGCATATTTGGAAATTATAATGTTTGAAACATTTAAGGTAGAATGTGAAATGTGTTATGAAAAAGCTAAAAAAGTTTTGAAAAAAGAAGTTGGTGGTGATGAACAAAAGATTAATGAGATTTTGGAGAAAGTTAAAGAATGGGTTAAAAATTGGGTTGATGAATAATTGCTTAAAATTGTTATGTTTTTAAAAAAATATTAGCGTTTAGGCACTTCTTTACAAATATACTTTATTGTTTTGTGATTTTAAAATATTTATTTAAGATAAAGTTTTGTATTTATTTTTTAACCTTAGCAATTACAAAAGTCACTTATTGATTTTTATCTATACATAAAAACAAATTTATTTGTAAATATTTACTATAATACAATTTGTAAAATGCTTCTTAACAGATTGATTATACTGTTTGTTTTCTCGTTTGTTAAATAAATTTGTTACCCATATATAATATTTATATAATTAGAAAAAATCATTTAATAATATCATTGAATTTTTTTTGGTGTTATGCCAGACTAAACTGTTAATAATTAACCTTGACCTAAGCTGACAATTTTAACTGGTCAGATTCAATGACATTGTACTGGTCAAATTGGTCAAATACAGTTAGTTAAAATTACATTTTGTAACTATCATAAAGAAAGCTTCTATAGCTACGTCAAGTTTGACAATATGGAACTTGTATTTTTAGTATTAAGGATGTTAATAGTTCAGTCTGATTTAGTCTGATTCATTTTGATCCAGGTTTGCTAAGGTTTATTATTGTTTATAGTCTTAAAAGTTAATTGGACCAGACTGTTATAAACTTGTCTGGTCTTATGACAAAGAACAGATAGGTCTAAACTAGTCTTAAGACTAACCATAGTCTATTAGTCTAAGACAATACCCTTATTTATGATTAAGATTATTATAAAAGATATAAATTTATTTTGTGATGAATTCAGCCGAGAACGAAGGCATGTACGTACTATATACATTTTAATTCTCAGTAAAATTAAACTACACTAGTTAAATAATATAAAACGATAAGAAATTCGTTAATAACATCCTGGCTTATCGTGAACTAGTAATTTTTTTTCTAGGTCATTTTTTTAATAATTTATGCTTACAACTACTTGAGCTCCGTTTACTTTGCTGATCAGTTCCAGTACAGGTCATAACCTGAGAAAAGTCAAATAATTGATACTGATAAACTTTAGTAACTCTATTATTTATCTTGGTTTAAGTCATATATACTAGAAATTTTCTGTAGCCTTAAATACGATTCTTATGGCTTGGTGTCAATTTTCATTTTACATTTTATTTATTAATTTTCTAAAAAAAATTTAAAAATAAAATTATACATATTATACAAATAGTTTATTAGGTTTATTAAGTTTTACAAGTAATAAATTATAATTATATGTAAATGATTAATTTAACACAATTGTAAATGATTAATTAAGAAATTAAAGATTCTAAATGCTAAGGTAAAAATTTGTTAACGAATAGCTATCTATAAATTAACTCTCATGTGGTTCTACAGTTTTCTTGGCGGTTCTTTTTATTTTTTATCAATATCTACACCATATTTATAGCAAACTCGAACTTTAAATTGTTCTCCTGAATTTATACCCGCAACGGATTTTAAATGCCAATCAAATCCATTATTTTTATTGTTTTCTTCATCTCTAATAATAAGTTGCTTACTAGAATTTACACTATTAATCGATTTAATGTACCATCCGTGTGCATTCTCTTTGTCTTTTGTGATTCCAATACCATTGTCATAGCAAACACCTACATAAAATTGTCCATGTGAACTTCCACTTTCGGCAGATTTTAAGTACCACTTAAAGGCCTTTGTTTCATCTTTAACAACGTTTATGCCATTTCGGTAACAATTTGCGACAAACAATTGTCCATCAATATTTCCACCTTCAGCAGACCTTAAATACCATTCAAAAGCCTTTTTTTCGTCTTTAGAAACGCCCGTACCATTCTGATAAAAATTTCCAATTACGAATTGACCATAAGAATCACCATTGTTGGCGGATTTCAGGTACCATTCAAATGCTTTTCTTTCATCTTTGTCGATTCCTATGCCATTTTCATAAATATTTCCTACTTTGAGTTGCCCATCAACATTACCACTTTCAGCAGACTTTAAATACCATTCAAACGCCTTTGTCTCATCCTTAGAAACTCCTGTACTATTCAGATAACAATTACCAATCTCTAATTGTGCATAAGAACTACCTCCTTCTGCTGATTTCAAATACCACTCAAATGCTTTCTTTTCGTTTTTAGCAATACCTATGCCATATTTATAACTATTTCCAACTTTGCATTGACCATCATTATTTCCTTTTTCTGCTGACTTCAAGTACCATTCAAACGCTTTCTCTTCATCTTTAGAGACACCTATTCCGTTCTGGTAGCAACGTCCAATATAGAATTGTCCATAAGAACTACCACTTTCCGCAGATTTTAAATACCACTCAAATGCTTTTGTATCATCCTTATTAACGCCTATGCCATATTCATATTTGTTTCCAACCTTATGCTGTCCATCAATATCTCCACCTTCAGCAGACTTCAAGTACCACTTAAACGCCTTTTTTTTGTCTTTAATAGTGCCCATCCCCTTATCGTAACACGTTCCAACTAATGATTGCCCGCGGGGATTTCCATTTTTGGCTGATTTCAAGTACCAATTAAATGCCTCCTTTTCGTTTTTGCCAACAATTTTACCGTCTTCGTAGTATTTTCCGACTCTGTGTTGTCCATCAGAATCTTCATTTTCAGCGGATTTCAAGTACCATTTAAATGCCATTTTCTGATCTTGATCAATACCTATACCATTCTCATAACACATTCCAACACAAAATTGACCTCTTCGACTTTTTTCAGCTGATTTTAAAAACCATTCAAATGCTTTTTTCTCATTTTTTATCACACCAATTCCGTCCAAGTAACACCATCCAACGCTATATTTCCCTTGTGGGCTACCACCTTGAGCTGATTTTAAATACCAATTAAATGCTTGATATTCGTCTTTTCTGACACCTATACCCAAATCATAGTACTGTCCCATAAAATATTGACCTTCAACATCACCATTTTCAGCAGATTTCGATGTCCATTCAAATGCATTTTTTATATTTCGGCATGTTCCTTTACCATCATGGTAATATGTTCCTACATAAAATTGACTGCGAGGATTGCCACTTTTAGCCGATTTTAGATACCATTTAAATGCTTTATTTTTGTTTTTAGAAACGCCTATGCCTCTTTCGTAACAATATGCAACATTGAGTTGTCCTAAAGGATTTCCGTTTTTAGCTGATCTTATATACCATTCAAACGCTTTTTTTTCGTCTTTGTTAACACCTATCCCATTCTGATAAAATTCTCCCACAGTAACTTGTCCACTAGAATTTTTACCTTTAGCTGATTTTAAATACCATTCAAATGCATTTTTTTCATTTTTAGAAACACCTTTACCATTCTTGTAACAATCACCAACAATTAATTGACCGTACGGGCTACCACCATCAGCTGATGCTAAATACCATTTAAATGCTTTTTTTTCATCTTTGTCAACACCTATACCATCTTTGTAATAATCACCAGCATTTATCTGACCATTTAAGTTTCCATTTTGAGCTGACTTCAAATACCACTCAAATGCTTTATTTTCATCTTTAGGAACGATGACACCATTTTGATAATATAATCCAATCTTATATTGTCCATCAGAATTATTCCCTTCAGCAGATTTCATATACCACTCAAATGCTTTATTTTCATCTTTGATAGTGCCTATACCATTTTGATAACATGATCCAAGGTATAATTGACCATTGGAATTATTACTCTCAACAGATTTTAAATACCATTCAAATGCCTTTTCCTTATCTTCACAAACACCTATACCATTTTCGTAACATAATCCGACTTTATACTGTCCGTCAGAATTTCCACTTTCAGCGGATTTTAAATACCATTCAAATGCTTTGTTCTTATCTTTACGAGTACCTATACCATTTTTATAGTAATCACCAATATTAACTTGAGCATTTATATTTCCGTTTTCAGCAGATTTTAGATACCATTTAAATGCATTTTGATTGTCTCTAATAGTGCCTATACAATTTTCATAACAATAAGCGATATTATATTGCCCTTCAGAATCACCACTTTCTGCAGATTTTAAGTGCCACTTAAACGCCCTCCTTTCATCTTCAGTAGTGCCTATACCATTTTGATAACACCAACCAACTTTATTTTGTCCTCTTAAATAACCTCTTTCGGCAGATTTTAAATACCATTCAAATGCTTTTACATCATCTTTTTCAATACCTTTACCATCTTCGTAGCAACATCCGAGAGTATATTGTCCACAAGGATCACCACCTTTAGCTGATTTCATAAACCATTCAAATGCTTTATCATCATCTTTATCAATTCCTATACCATTTTGATAGCATACTCCTACACTATATTGCCCTTTAGGATTACCACCTTTAGAAGATTTCAAGTACCACTTAAATACTTTCATTTCATTTTCTGTATGGCCTTCTTCATTATTTGATTTTATATATCGATCAATTTCATATCCTTGATTATTAGTTACGTATATACTAACACACGATCCCATTTCTGATTTTTTTTGAAAAAAATTTAAACTCTACATACGTATGGCTATAGTTTATTGTCATCATCATGTTTAAAAATTTTTTTTTATTTAACGTGTTTTTATTTAACGTCGTACAAATATTTTTTGTATCTATGAAGTAACATAAATGAAATTTATTTTGGACTACGTTAAACAAAATATAATTTTCCGAGTGGTAAATCCGGATTAACAATATGCAGTGGTAATCTAATGAATTGGTTTCAAATTAATTTAATGGCTTCGAACATGAAACTTGCTTCTTTTTTTCTTATAATTGATTAAAATGTGCTGAAATTTTTTTTTCATTTTACAACGTAACCAATCCCCTACTTTGTTGCATATAAATCAAAAAGATCAATATAACTGAACATTGGTATATCACGTGACGCCGCTGCCACGGCGCAGCAATTTTGCGTACTATGTAAGAGTGCGAAGTATAGATAATATTATTATACGTACCTTCAGAACTGATAGCTACAACAGTTCGGTTTTGGTTAATTAAAATATA